ATCCTAGCTCTTGAGATACACCCATTTACCTAAAACACAAATCTGAAATTTATCCTTCTTAGTGGCAAACTAGCATCACACTTTTTATGCCTTGTTTATTGTATATAAGAAATGCTGCTGAGGATGTGGGATACAAGGAGCATTTCTCCATTGTTGGCAGGAGTGTAAATTGATACAAGTACTACAGAAAGCAGTATAACTATTCCTTCCTCAACATACAAAAAAAGGGTCTATTTGAACAAAGGAGTCTGCTTCTAGTTTTATTCCCCAAAATTTTAATAGCATCATTTTGCAGCTGTATATAACAGCACAGTTTATAAAGTTTTGGAAATAGCCTATATGCTCAACAGCAAATAAATGAATAAAGATAATATGGTATTTATATAAAATGTACTACCCCTCTGTCATTAATATATTTATGAAGAATTGTTCTTAGTGTTGTCTATTTTACCATATGCTACAAATAGCATCATAAATGTATGTATATACAGAAACTTCCAAGAAATTATACACACTTGAGGAAGAGAAAAATGTATAAATTTTCTAATACTAAATTTATCTAGACATCATGAAATCAACACAAGTTACCTTTGGCCTCTACAATTACAAGATATGCTCAAAGTGTTGTCCATTAGCTTTCAGCTATTAATTAGTTTTTCGTTTCCTGAAATATGTATACATTTTTGGCAGGGTCTGTATATATAATACAAATTTGTAAAATTTCTATAGTAAATTCAGTTAGACTTTCTGATATGATGAAATAGATATAAATAGCTAAAGTGGAAGGTAGGGATTTATTAGAGAAGTTGAATGGGATGTGTATATAAGGGCAGTGAAGTGAAGCTGAGCAGAAATGAGCTAGAGACCCGAATGAGGCACAGCTCAGGTCAGGAGTGAGGAAAACGCTCATGTTGAATTCCTCCCCTCCACAGAGTTGGTGTTTAAGGACATATGCTCCTGGGATTTGAATGGTACTAGTGATTCTTGCAACTATCAGGTTAATGAGGAGCTTTGGAAATTGACCCCTGAGGAATACAGAAACTTTAGGAATCAGGCTGTGCAACCTGACTCAAAAGCCCTGCCCAGTCAGGCAGCAACAGCTGTGATCTCTCCAGAGAACAATCTTCTTGGTGAAGAAGCACTGATTAGATGCACGTGTCCACTCTTTCTGAGCAAAGATCTTTGACTTTCTATGCAGGTGACTTTCTGGGCCCCACTCTCAGAGAAACCCTCCAGGTAAGACAAAGTTTCTCAATTATTTGAAAATTAATGTGGATATTTGGAGAACAATTCCTCTCCTTACAGAAATCTCTTGGATGTTCGTGTGAGGTGGGTGGCGTGAGTTCTCTGGGTGAGAAGATGGAGAAAGTGTAGCTTGCTCATTAAGCAGTCTTTTGGTCCTCATGTTTCACACTAATAGGAAGAGCAGAAATGAACTAAATAACAACACCTGCAACACAACCATCCATCTTGCTTCCACCCTTAATCAGGGATATTGCAGTAGTGTTGTTTCATGTCCCATTAAATAGGGCAATAAAATGCAAATCATGTATGCTTCACCACCTAGACAATCTCCTTCATGGCTTGATTTTCCCCAACAGAGGCCTCTTGAATGTGGTGGTGTCCCATCTACATGGCTCCTAAAAGGATGTGTAGTCATCAGCAAGAGGCAGTAACTGTAGCAACTCTCAGTTAAAGAATGTTCAAGAAAACTGTGCTGTAAATATAGTGGAACAATCTAGTAATTAACATCAAGTAAGAGGACTACATACAACATTATCAAAAATTAAAATTATCTAAGGAGTCTGATTGTAAATTATAAACCTATACACTATGTTCTGTTATTTAAATATTTTAAAGTACAGCACCATAAATTAGTTTTAAAGAATAGTGGAAAGTTTATTGAAAATTCAAAGAGAATAATGTAAAGTGAAGTTTCCCCCATGGGGAAAAATCATATTTATAAAAGAATGTGCTAAAAGGGGCATCAAACATACCCTTATTTTTTTCACATTAAAAATATCTAAAGAAAGCCATGGTGAAGTATGTGGCATTTTGTTTGATGTTTATGGAGTGCCAGTCCTTCAAGATTTTCTGCATATAATGCATGGATAATACTGAAGGAAAATATACACACTTGTAGAGTTTAAATTGTGTGCATTTTTCTCATGTAGCATTTATCTGATAATATATTTCTATATTATACATAACCTTTTGTGAATCATATTTCTAATTCTTTTACTATTTCATTTATTCTTGTTGCAATGTATTTTATCATATTTTGATACCAAGTGAATATTTGCAACATTGAAATTCCTTTCCTCACATTTTTATTTTATTTAATTAATTAATTAATTTATTTTTTGTTGGTACCAGGGATTGAACTCCGGTCATTGCGCTTGCAAAACAGGCCACTGAACCGCTGAGCTAAATCCCCAGCATCACGTTTTTAACTTAAGCAAGATTTCAAAGGTAATTTTCACTCATATATTCTTCAGTGATAATGCTATTGCTCATGCTACAGTTTTTCTTCCTTTTTCCTTTCTTTAACTAGCTCAAGCAATGACTTTCTTATAATTGATGAAAGGTGCAGTGATCTTTGCTAATGAAAGATATACACAGGGACACCCATTCACACGTGCACAGACACAAAAGATTAGAGAAGTCAATTAAGGAGACATCCTCTCTAGAATAGTACAGGCTGCTTTTGCTTGATTTATTCTAATATCCTTGAAACAACTCCATATGCATTTAAACCCTGAGAATATGAGGTATAATTATAGATAATTATGATACATAAATATTATGTATTTAATGTATGTACTTAGCGTGCTGATGAAGTGCAAAATTGGAAAAGATCTCCACGCTACAACTAATGAAAACACACTTTAAACAGTTTCCATTACAAAAATATAAAACATCTAGTTAAAGATTATGTTTCCATTCTAAAAACAACTAATGGAGAATAAAGTAAATTCAGAGCCTGTGACTCTCATTTTTCACCAAATGATCATTGATAATGTAGCTGTTTTTATCTTCCTGTGGGGGAGATACAGCAGTGCTCACAAGGGACTTTCCTATTTGAATGCCTACATATCAGAGCTCATGTAAATTTTGAAGTCTCTGTCTTTTAGAATGGAATAATTCATTTTTATTTTAATCATTTTTTTGATGAGACTGTGCATTTCACTTTTCTTAAATTTAGTTAGTAGTTTGCTTTTTAATTTAATGCATTTTTGGGGGGTTTCTAACTCATTCAGGAAAGCTTTTCCCATAGGATTGGGAATAATGTTTTCAACATAATTACCTAGCTTCTCCTAGAATTAGTTACTAAAGCAGATTGTTTGTATTTCCAAGGGATGGTGGTATTGCCAACTTCAACTCTAAAGGCACAGATTTTTAATCACTGCTTATGCCCACCCTCATGTCTGTCTTCTATATCCTGCAGCTCAGTTAATGCATACTGGGTGGGACACTTTGAAAGGAAGGGGATAATTGGGGATTTATTTCAACAAGAAACTATTACGATTTTAAGGCAAATCAATAAGAAATGTAGAAAAATTTAGAAATGCTAATTCTGTACTATCCCAGGGGATTGGCAGAAATGAGTCAAGAAGATCCACTCAGCAGTCTGACAGTGAGATATTTGGCCTAGAGTTTGGCAGAACCTGCGTGTAGATTTTTCCATGACATGTGCTGATAGGTCCATGGGTCTAAAAGAGTAACTGTCTCATCTGTAAATTGACAAGACATTCAGGTCATACTAGAACTTCCAAAAGTAAGAGTCCACCACTTCACAGCATACCATTTCCCTTCAATCCTGGGTTTTGGACTGGTCCATGACCTGTTAGGAATGAGGGCACAAAACAGGAGGTGAGCAGCAGCAAGGTGATCAAAGCTTTGTCTTACACCCACTCAGCATGGCTTACATTACTGCCTGATCTCTACCTCTAGTCTGATGAGCAGTAGCTTTATGTTTTCCCAGAAGCTCAAACTCTACCCTGCAATTTCCATGCAAAGGATCTAGGTTCCAAGCTCCTTAAGAGAATCTAATACTTGATAGTCTAGAGTGGAGCTCAAGTGCTGATACACTGGCCAAAAAGTGTATGTAAACAGAGTTTAATAGTAGGAGAGATGTTGCAGAGAGCATAAAGCATCATTTGCTTGCAGACTCATAGTAAAACTCACTCAGTGAGTGACAAGTGTAAATTAAGCTGCATCTGGTGGCCCAGGATACAGCAGCGAGTTGATATATTTCAATTGTACAAACTATATTTAGTAACAGGGTTTATGTCATAATCCAAGCCTAATGTCAGTTTGCAAAAGACTTGCTCATTATTTTATTTATTTGATTCTGAATTATAGCGAGTCATATAATTATTTCATTCTATATTACATTATAATAATAGAAATAAAGAGGACCACAGAAGTTTATGCATTTGAATTGCTACAACTTGTTCCTCCTCCCAAAGTCTGTGGAAATAGTGTCTTCCATGAAACTGGTCTTCAGGACAAAAAAGGATGAGGATATCTGCTCTACAGAATAAATTTGCTGTTAATTCTCATACCTCTTTTGTTTTAAGGCATGGACTGGAGAGGAAAATCCATCTCTTATGCTTTATTTTAATCCCAGGGTTAGCCACTATTTTGAAAAAAACATGTACATTCAGTAAAGGATGGAGGAGTTAGAAGAGGAGATAGAGAAGAAAAATGGAGGGGAAAGAGGGCAGAAAAAGATCTGAATTTTCACATGGATTTACAGTGTGAATTTTAACTTTTTGTTTATTTTAAGGTACTGTTAGAAACTTCAAAAATATTAAATTTATAGACAATATATGCTAAACATAGAATATTCTTTTTATTCTCAGAGTGCATATAACAGACATCCATAGTGGTATCAAAATTTTTCATTTCTATCATGCCCAGGAGAGTCTGCTACTCAGCCAAAAACTGTGTTTCATTTTATTTTTACACTATCTTTGCACAGATTCACCATCAACATGAAATTCCAAAACCAAACACTTGTCTCAGAATTCCTTCTCCTGGGACTGACAGATGATCCAGAAATGCAGCCTCTCATTTTCAACCTATTCCTACTTATCTACCTTGTCACCATTGAGGGAAATCTGCTCATCATCCTGGCCATCAGCTCAGACTCCCACCTCCACACACCCATGTACATTTTCCTCTCCAACCTGTCCTTTACTGACATCTGTTTAAGCACCACCACCATCCCAAAGATGCTAGTCAACATCCATACACAGGATCAGAGAATCAGTTACACAAGCTGCTTCTCTCAGCTTTGTTTTGCATTAGTTTTTGGCTGTTTAGAAAATTGTATCCTTGTGGCCATGGCCTATGACCACTATGTGGCCATTTGTCAGCCCCTGAAATACATGGTCATCATGCACCCCCGCCTCTGTGTCCTGCTGGTTCTACTCTCCCTGCTCGTGAGCATTGTGCATGGTCTGCTCCACAGTCTCGCAGCACTGCCACTGTCCTTCTGCATAAATGTGGAAATCCCACACTTCTTCTGTAAACTTGCTCAGATCCTCAAGATTACCTGTTCTGATACCTTTATCAATGCTATGCTGATGTATTCAGCAGCAAATGCATTTTTTAGTGTTCCTCTCATTGGAATTATTTTCTCTTATGTTAAAATTGTCTCCTGCACTTTGGGAATGCCATCAGTTGGGGGAAGGTATAAAGTTTTTTCCACCTGTGGATCTCACCTTTTTGTTGTTTTCTTTTTCTATGGGACAGGTTTTGGTATGTACTTGAATTCTACATTTAGTAACTCTTCCAATAAGAATGCAGTGGCTTCTGTAATGTATATTGTTGTCCCTCAGTTGATGAACCCTTTTATCTATAGTTTTAGGAACAAGGAAATGAAGACAGCTCTGAGGCGTCTCATTACTTGGAAGCCTTTTATATGTTGGGGTCATGGGCTTTGAGCTAGCCTTTCTAGAATAGCACAGAATGAGAATACAGGCTAGACAGAAGCCTCACTCTGTGTCACTAAAGATCTTCCAAATTTCCCACTTAATATGATGTCTAAGCATATTTCAGCTTGTACTTTGTGCTTCCCTTTAATTATCCAGTTCTGTGAAGTTTGACAAGTTATTTCCACCTGTACACTCTGTTGTGTTGCTCTGGTTCATTTAAAGAAATTCATAAATTGAGTTCTCAATTTTTAAAAATTTTTACTTGAAAATTTTGCAAAGGTTATGCTGGAATAGTTAATGGAAAGCTGCACTGATAATATGGAGATGAGACTCTGTGTAGTGTGATAGTTAGAGCCTTGATTGTTTTTCCCACATGATGCTAATGATCTGGACTGATGTGTAATTAAGTAATTACTGACACTTCCTTCAGGCAACTGCATATTTCTGCATTTATATTACCATCTTTCCTAGTTAGTGTCATTATTTTTCCACTTCACATAAAAAGATTGTCAACAGTTTGAGGTGGTTTTGAAATGTTTTGTATTTTGAATCTCATTAGAGAAAATAGTTTACTTCTCATAAGAAAAAGAAATATTTACATAAATATTCTTAGACTATCAAGGGAATTACTGTTCATTGTTATAATTTCACAAATACAATGCCTAGTGTCCAGGATTAGGTCTTCATGGAGCCCTACATGATTTGGCTTCATTCTAGGATTGTTCTCACAGTCATAAGGCTCTATAGCTTGAATCTAAAATGTCCCCAAAGGCTCATGAGTTAAAGGTTTGGTCTGCAGCATTTGATGCTTGAAAAGTTGTTGTGCCTTTAAGAAGTTGTATCAACTATGAGGAAATTAGCTAACTGAGGATATGACCTTAAAGGACATAGTAGAATTCAACACCACTCTCTCTTGCTTCCCTGCTAACACGCATTGAATATCTTTTGTCTATCATTTTCTCCTCATGAAAATGTCTTTGTTCTCCACATTCTCAAAAGCAATCAGGCCATCTGACCTTAGCGTGAAAATGCTCAAACATAGAGATTAAGTAATGCTTTCTTGTTTTTAAATTTATTGGTTCAGAAATTTTGTTACAGTAATGGAAAGATGATCAGTACATCAGGTAGCTGCAGGATATGAGAATGACAGGCCCAATTTGATCCTAGAGATGGAAAATGAGTGCCCTTTCCTTGGTCCATTAATAATAGATCTCTCTTTGGAGTAAACTTTCAGATATTTCTCTTCTAAGATGAGTAGTGGCCCTGAAAATGATACTTCTTTTCTTCATCCCTTTGTTGTAACTGTGAAACTACATGAGAAGCGGTGCAATCTACTCTGAAGGGGATTCCTTCCACTAGGCAGACTAGAACTGCAGAAGAAATACAGAGCAGTGCCCACCAAATTTGATAGTGTCTAATCTGAAGCATTTTGAAAAATAATTATTTAAGACTGAACTAGAGAACAACTCCAGAACCTATACTTGAGAGTTATTTGTATCACCCTTCCAAAGTGGCAGGGTGGTAGGTGGTCCCAAGGGACAGTCATGGAGAGGCCATGTGCTAGACATAAACCCCTTCCCTGAGAATTTTATACCCAAGCTAAGACACATTTCCTAACATAGGTGGTGTGAAACCAGGCCAACCACGTAAGGTTGTCAGAAGGGACAGGATCTGGAAGTATTATTATTAAGTGCAAGTCTGACTGAATCCCAGCCCCTCTTCCTATATCCAGTACGTAACTCAATGTTGTTTGCTTTCCTTATCCAGCAACACGAACATGGATGTGGATTGGCTTTGATGGTCGGCACAGTATGGGTTGTACGGACAGAGTGGCTTCTAGAGGAGGGAGGGGGTCAAACCAAACCCAAACGTCCTAAAATTCAGCAGAAAACCTAGTGACTTGGGACACACTGAGGAACATGGACACTGGAGCTGCACAGGTGACTTGTGCTTAGGGTGGAACATTGACCAGCCACTCCCAGTGTGAAAAGCAGGCAGGATTCAGCATTCACACATAAAATCCTTAGTGTGGAAACAAAATATGTCTTAAACTGATGTATTGTACCAACCAGATACCTGGGGAATTCCAATACTGCAGACCTGAAAAGAAAATGCTCATTTGAAAACAAAGGAATTTGTTCAGGGGCTTTCTTATTTGTTTCTTTCTTCATTGGATTTTTGGGGGTTGGATTTTCCTTTTCTCTCCTTTATTAACTGTATAATTTTTCTATTTCCCAATTGTTTTCTGTTACTTTACCTAATTCTGTTATTTTTCTTTTATTCAGAAATAGGATCATTTACTTCACTTTTCTACCTTCCTTCTCCTCCATCCTTTATTTCTCACATTTTACTTCTTTCATGCTCCCATTCCTCAACCACTCCATTTTCCCTAGCTTTATTAATATATACATGTTTAATATACATTAATTTTATCATTCTTTATTTATTTAGTTAACCATATGATATTGAATTATTTTCTGCTGTTGATGATATAATGGTAGCATTAGTAGATATTTACTGTATGTAAGTATATGGATTAGATTTGTGTCTAAATTATAATTTTAGATCAATTTCTATGGTTAAAGTGGTGCAGTGGTAACATCTATTTTTTTCTGTAGTATGTCAGTATCCAGTCTGAAATCCCTCTATTATTACTGCTAAAATTGTTGCTATTACCAGTGTGGTGTATTTGTTAGTATTAGTTGTTTTTTGTTCTGCACACTGTATCTGTTTATTCTCTGTGTTAGAAACAATACTGATTCATTTCCATAGAACTAGGCACTGGGCCCATTCCACTACAAATGACACACACAAATTAACTAAGATTGTTGGAACTTGGGACAGAAGCAAAGGACAATAGGAAGCCATGCCCACAGTTGATTGTAGAAAAGGAGACACTAAAGAGATCTTCAAAGAAGAAAGTTGATTCTACTATAATCTATCTGCAGCCTTTCCACACACACACACACACACACACACACACACACACACACACAGAGTAATAGACACACGAGGACTAAACAAAATTCCTCCATCAATTTCCAACTCCCCCAAATCTGATCTTTGTGCAGTTAATGTAAAGGAAGTAAAATTCAAAAGGTAAATTAAATAAAATAATAAAACAGACACACAATACACACAATACAAAAATAAAATGCATGCACAATTACAGATCAATAAAGTGGTTAACAAGCTCAAAGATTGTGTAATTAAACAGGTAATGGTATTAGGGGCTTAGCACAGTTTTGACTCCCAAAATATCTAGAAAAGGTAATGGAGTCCACTAGAGAAGAAAGCTGCAATCATATTTGAAGGGCACTTGTGATGAATGGGATCAGAGAGATTTGGGGAGAAAGGATGGTGATGGCATGGTTTTTGAGGGAGAAGGATATCCAACTTCAGAGTGGGCAGTGAAAAGTGTTCTAAAATTTGTCTCATTTACTCCATTAATTATGTTGATAATGTAACAAAAGAATGACTTTACACTTGATACTTGAATTCCTTACTGCATAATTTGTAGAGATTACATATTTGAAGTCCCTCAACCATAGCAGCTATTGAAGCATCCAGGTACAATTTGTTCAATGTCCTATTTCTGCCTTGCAATATTCCTCCACTTTCTCCTCCCACAGACTGACAAGCAGCCTAGATATTACAGTTGAATGATTGTCTTTCTCATCATAAACTTCATCTTATGATACAGAAACAAATTTTTGATTCGTCTTCAGTAATATAAAAATCCAAATGAAATTCATAGTATTTCCTTTAATTTATGTTTTGATGGAATATATGCTGAGTATTATCTCAGATGGCTAATGTTTTATCATAAAGATATCAGGTGAAAGTAACTATCAACCTAATAGACATTACATCTGATGTTTTCAGGAAGTACATTCTTGGGTTGTTTATGTTTAAATGATATCTTGAAAGTTACAGATTCAGATAATATATTAAGAAAGAGTTTACATATTGTAAAGTGAGTTGGTAAACATGAAATTGTTGAAATTTTTAATTCTAATAGTTTAAGAGCCAGTAAATCACTCATCTTAAATCACTCTCCTCCTTAGAGTTGGTGTTCAGCGATATATGCTCCTGTGATTAAAATTAAATTAATGTTTCCTGTTCTTGTTAAAGAAGAGCTTTGGAAATCGAACCCTGAGAGATACATAAACTATAGGAGACAGGATATAAAAATCTGGCTAAAAAATTCTACCCAGTCAGAAAGCGATAGTTGTGCTGTCTACAAGAGTTGGATTTTCCTGGTGCACAGCCAGTTGTGACAGTCTGTGTGTCCGCCCTTGCAGAGGACAGGTATCTCGTTTTTTACATGCAGGTGACTTTCTGAGCATCATTCTCACAGAAACGCTCCAGGTAAGCCAAAATCTCTTATTTTATCATTTCAACAAGAGTGCATACATTTTAGTACAGTTTCATCACTGTGCAGAGATCTTCTGTTCTTTTCCTGTAGAGGGGCTGTGAGGAACCTGAGTAAGGAGGTTCAGTCAGAGAGAAGCAACCAGCTGCTTCTTAACACTTATATTTCACACTAACATGAATTACAGAATTGTCCTAAAAACCATATGTTCTACCTGACAACCTGTCTCCCTCCAACAGTTATCCAAAATCATTATGTACCATATTTCAGGTGTGTTTCAGGTCTTGTTAAATTAAGTAATAATATGGAAAGTATACACAAGTTACCACCTTGGTAAGTTCCCTCATTTTTTCCTTCCCCCAAAGACAAGCCATCTTAAATATGGTGGTGTCCCTCAGGCATGTCTCTTCACTGTGCATAAAGTCACCAGTAAGAGGCAGTAATCATAGCATCCATCAGGTAAAATATATGGAAGTACATTTTGATGTAAAATGTAGTGCAACAATCTGATAATTAGCATTCAGTAAGGAGGACTGTATATCACAATATTTTTCAAAAAAATAAAATAAAATAGGTACATCAATTGTAAATGGAACATGTGTGCAGTAAATTTTTGTTATATGATAATTTTAAA